CCTTTTGACCATTTTTATCAGTGGTTTGTTTCTCATTCTGAGATTTGATGGTTCTTTACATATTTTTATATACACTCTTATCAAATAGATGCTTTACAGATCTTTTCTCCCAGTCTCCAGCTTCTTTTCATTCTCTTCCTAGTGTCTTCTGAAGAGCAAAAATTTTTTCATTTTTTGAAAAAAATCAAACTTCTTCTTCTGTGCTTTAGGTGTTGTATCTAAGAAATCAGTTCTTAACCCAAGATCTCAAAGACTTTCCCCCTATGTTTCCTTCTAGAACTTTCACAGATTTGGGATTTATATTTAGGTCTATGATCTATTTGAGTTAACTTTTATATATGATCTAATGTATATATCAAAGTTCATTTTTGGGGTATATAAATATCCAATTATTCCAGCACTGTTTGTTGAAAGACTAACCATCTGCCACTCATTTGCCTTTAAACCTTTGTAAAAAAAATCAATACTAATTTATACCAAGGATTCATGGTATAATGAACAAATTCATACCAAGTGCACAGTATTAAAAGAATAATTTTAAAATGCATAACTGCATTATAGAAGAGAAATCGCACAGAGCATTTATTGGACCACAGTGTAATTCCACTAGAGATCAGAAAGATAACTAGAAAATCTCCAACTGTGTGGTCCAGGAGAGACTGAAGTTGGAAGTGGAGGGGAGACAAGATGTCTGAAGCCAACATCTTTCCCGGGGCTGCTGTGATGATCACGCTGACCGTGCAGACACAGCCCCAACGGCACGGTTCACCCAGACTCTAAAGCACACGGTCCTCTGGGGACCCTAGGAGCCCTTCCCTGTTTACCAACCAGTAGGAGCTCCTGTATGTATATATACACATACACACATATACATATATATGCATATATATATATACACACACACATATATACACATACACACACATATATCCATGGATAGATATGCTTTATCTGAATTTTTTAATGAAAAGGGAGAGATGGGGAAGAAAAAGGTTGGGAAGAAGGAGTGAGAAGGAGAGAAAGCAAACATCTCTGGAATCAATATATACTGAATGTCCACTCTGGTTACCTCTGGGCTACAGGCTTATAGGTAATTCTTTCATTCCTCGTGTCATTCGTATTTTCTAAATGTTCATCATATCATCCATTTTTAAGCTCCAGGAAACGTATCCTTGGTGTTGGCCTCTTCTTGGGGGGTCTTCCCTGAAGCCCTGACCTGCTGCCAACACTGGCCTGCTGATGTGGCAAGTTCCTTCCGGCCTCCTGAGAGCTTCCGCAGCAGAGAGAAGCACTGGAACTTGCCAGCCACACACTTAGCGCGCTTTGTACCGATTGCCTCCTCTTGCCCTTTCCTGAGAACTGCTGGAGGAGCTGCCCTCAGAGCTGATGGAGCCAAACCCAAGTCAGAATATAAAGTATTTGCAGTGTTGCCCTGATTGATGGGCTGGACCTTTTCCCACGGTCATGAGCACAGATAATTCTCTTTATAAAAAATTTACTTGCCCGGAACAGACGATAACAGCAAGGGTATTCATAGTGAAACAGACAAAAGGGACATTTGCCTTCTCTCAAAGTTTAGCGTGCCTTTTTGTTGCGTGCGATGACAAAATGCATTTAAAAACTTAGAATGTGCAAATGAGTATTAAATTTGGATAAAATCACTCCATGCACTAACTCCTGGGTAAATTATTATAAATATTTTGGCAAATTTGTATCCATGAATGACTACCTCATGTAAGAGGACTCACACAGTATTTGTTTTTTAGCGTCTGGCTTATTTCACTTAACACTAAATCCTCAGGGTTCACCCATGTTGTAGCATGTGTCAGAATTTCCTTCCTTTTTGAGACTAATATCCCACTGTACGTGTACACCACGTTTTGTTTATCCACTCATCTGTTGACTGACCCTTGGGTTGTTTCCACCTTTTGGCTGTTGAAAATAACGCTGCTACAAACAGGAGTGTACGCGTATCTGTTAGAGTTCCTGTTTTTCACATAGAATCAGAAGTGAAATTGCTGTGTCATATGGTAATTCTATTTTTAGTTTTCTTGAGGACTCATGTATAGTTTTGAATTCTTTGCTTCTAACTCACTTAACTTTTGAGCATGAGTATTTTTTCAAAAATATTTTTGTAACTCTTAATAATTTCAACTTCCAAAAAATTTTGCAGAAATAATACAAGCTTCAATATGTGTTTCAACCAGATTCGCCAGCTGTTCTCATTTTGCCATGTCTGCCTTATCATTTTCTCTCCTTCTCTCTGTGTTTGTATGTGTGTGTGTCTAGAAAGTTCCAGACACGATGCTGCTTTACCCTAAAATGCTTCAATGTGGATTACCTAAGAATGAGGACATTCACTTTGAGAACCACAAAGCAGTTATCAAAATCAGAAAATGAAACAGTGATACAATGCCATTATCAAATCCAAAGTCAGTATGCTAATTTTGCTTATTGTCCCCAGTCTGAGAACATGAATGAAATTTAATTGCCAAGTCCTGTGGTGGGCAGTTTTAAGATGCCCCCACCCCAAAATTCCCATTCCTCCCCAAATTGGTAAGCAGATGCAATTAAAGAGACCTTAAAATAGAGAGATTATCCTGGACTATTCGGGGTGGGGGGGTCAGTGTAATCACATGAGCCCGTAAAAGCAGCAGAGGAAGGCAGAAGGGGTGAATGTGAGAGAAACTTGACCTGCCATTGCGGGAGGGGCCACAAGGAATGCAGGCAGCTTTGAAGAGCAAAGATGAGCCTCTCTGGCTGAGAGCCAGCAGACACACAGGTTCCTCAGTCCTAGGACCACAAGAACAGCCTGACTGAGCCTGGAAACGAACTCTTCCCAAAGCCTCTACAAAAGAGCCCGGCCCATGGGCATCTCCATTTTGGCCTGTGAGACCCAAAACAGAGGAACCAGCCAAGTCCATGAACTCCTAACCTTCAAAATGATGAGATACTAAACTTTGGGGGTTTTGGTCCTGGAGTTTGTGATGACTTGTTACAGCAGCAATAAAAAACTAATGCCAGTCCCCTCAGCCTCCCTTAATCTGGAACAGTTCTTGAGACTTTCTGTCTTGACCCTTGACTCCTTGTGGAGAGTCCAAGACAGTTGTCTGTAGAAGGTCTCTGAACTGGGGTTTGTCTGATATTTTATTAATAGCTTCAGGTTCTGCATCTCGGGAACTGATTCCACAGCAGGGGTGCTATGTCCTTCTCAGTGAATCATATCAGTGGGTGTAAAATGTTTTTGTCCCAATAATAGTAATGTTAACTTTGACCACTTGGTGACATCTGCCAGGCTTCTCCTCCGTAAAACTATTTCCTCCTTTTAAAATGAATACTCTGCAGGAAGAGACATAGGGACAATATAAGTATCCTGCTCCTCATTAAACTTTTGCCCACTAATTTTAGCATCTATTGATACCCCTTGCCTGGAACAGTTACTATTAAGATAGGTGAATTCTCTGTTCATATTAATTCTAGCTCTATATTAGCTTACAAATTTTGTTTGATAGCTTGCTTCCCCATGTAAAGCAATACTATAAGTATTTCCCCTAATTAATAAATGTTCATCAACAGCATTTTAAGCATCTGTTTAATGTTTCACCATAAGGTTATATCGTGGTTTACTAAAGTAGGTCATTTAGCTTCCTTCTACTTTTTCATAATTTTAAATAATGACACAACAAATGTCCTTGTAAATACATCTTGGCTCATATTTATGAGTATTTCCTTAGGATAAATGAGTAAGATTGGAATTAATGAGTCAACAGGTACATATTTTCTAAAGTCTTGGATCTGTATTATCAGATTATCCTCTAAAACACCATTAGTATATGAGAGGACCCATTTCTGCCAACAATGAGCATTATCATTATTCTTTAATCTTTGTAAATATGTTGAGCTGGGAAAACAGTATCTTACTATTTAAATTTGCATCTGATTGTTTGCTAAAAATGTTTAGGGGTAAAGAGTTGAGAGTATGAGTAAGATTGCATATATATTTCAGATTTTAAAAGTCATTTTTATTTCTTCTTTGGTAAAATATCCATACTTTCCCCACTTTTTCTATTTTGGCATTTGACTTTTCCTTTTTGATATAGGCATATGTTTACTTTTCTCTTTGCTCTACTGCTCGTGAGAGCAAGGACCCTGAACGTCTTATTCACGCTGTATTTCAGCACTTAGAGCCTGACACTTTAGTAGGTGGGCAGTAAATACTTGTTGGATGAAACAGAGGAATATTTATGAGACTTCTTTCTATTTTAAAGATATATCTGGAGCAATCTTTCATCAGCTATCATGTGCCAGGCACTGAGCTCAGTGACTTGTGTATATTATTTCTCATACCCTGATGACAGTTCTATGAGATTTGGTTATTATCTCTACCTTCACAGAGGAGGTACAGAGAGGTTTCAAGATCTTAGCTACAGCCAAACAACTAGCAAATAGTGGGGATGGGATTCAAACATGGGAAAACTAATTCCAGCATCTACAGTAAGTTTTAGGTTATAAAAATACAAAACTTTTGTTATAGTATTCTCTTTCACTTACAGAGTTTGGGTTTGTTGTTATAACTAGGCTCTTTAATTTTAACCCTGGAACTGGAATTTAATACGGAAATAATTTGCATGCTAGCTTACTCATAAAGAATCAGGCCCAATGCACTGAGTGACAGGCAGGACAATTAGGTTTGGACAACTCTGAAGATTCTTATCTCTGTAGTAAAAAATAATCTGTGAAATAAGAATGAACCTAGAAATCTTCTAATGGGATATGCAATGGCTCCTTAGTGGGAAACCCAGTCAACTAATTCTGAAGTATTTGCATAATGAAATTTCACTCCAGCTGATAAATAACGACGTGTTTAGCAGGTTTGCTTTATGTTTTACCACTTTATCTGTCACACCCGACACCTTTCCGAAAGCATCTAGGAAACTATAATAAGGCTCTCGTTACACTCTTCCTCCTCGGTAAACTTGTCAGGGTAACGGGCTTGAGTTTGAAATGATTACCTTCGGGCAGCTTGCACAAATCCTTCACTAGCTTGAGCCAATTCCTCTGCCGTCTTCTCCAAAGAGGCAAATACTTCATTCCCCATGTCTCTCCTCTCTAATGAGATGATCAGATGGTAAAGCCGAATGGTCATTGGTGAGATGATTCTCTCAATGGCCTTGTTCTGTATCATGGAGCCGACGTCATCCAAGAGGAAGGACTCCATCTGTGGGCAGAAGTATGACATGGCTGAGAGCAAAAGAGGAAGACAGCCTTCTAGTCAGGATAGAATGGATAACAACAGGTCAGAGTCCCTGCTATAATATCAAGAAAAGTCAGATAAATTATAAAAATTACACCCCAAACACATGAGGGAGCTGCAGCAGCGAGGACTATGAGATGAATTAAGATTTCTGGGAGGGGAGACTCCTTCTGAGATGAGTTAGTATAGATGACAATTTCCTTAGGGGCGTTCCGTTAATTCTGGGCACAGACTCAGGAACAGAGCCAGGACAAGTCAGAAGTCCAGGGCTGGGGGAAACGAAAAGAAAACTTTGTGATAATTAAAATTATCACCTAGAAACATTACATAATCCAACTGCCGAAAATCAAACACACAGAGAAAAATTTTAAAGCATCCAGAGAATAAACCATGCTATCTTCAAAGGAACAGTATTAAATCTGACAGATGACTTCATAGAAACAAAAGAATCCAGAAGATAATGGAATGGCATCTCAAAAGCGATAAAAGAAAATCATTTCATTGTATAACCAGTGAAAATATACTTCAAAAAAAAGAATGTGCTGGGTGACAGAGCTGTCCTAAATATTGATTGTTGTGGTTACATAACAGTGTACATCTGTCAAAACTTGCAGAATTGTATGCTAAAAAAAGGTAAAATTTACTGTATGTAAATTATGTTAATTTTTAATGAAAGGAAGGGAAAGAAAGAACTTAGAGAGAAATAAGGCTTCTGTCCTGTGTAAACTCTATTGCTTGATCATTTTAATACCCACTGCCATCAATTCAGTATAGAATTAATCCAAGCAGATTAGTGGAACAGAACACAGAATCCAGAAATAGACCAAGCACATCTCAGCATTTAAGACAATGGGATGGTACGTCAATTCAGTGAGAAACTAATGGATTATTCAATTAAGTTGTTTGGCTGACATTGTCAGATTAGGGCTCCTTAAAGTAAGAGACAGTCTTCCAACTGCGATTCCAACCTTGTTGCCCATTACAGCAATTATGCTCCCCTTCCTTCTGACAGTTAAGAGCTGCCATATGGCCCCTGCTGTGCTGGAACCCAATTATCCTCATTGCTAATGGGAAGTCCTGTTCTGTGACAGCATCTCCGACCATTCACCCTGCCCTTCGGAAGACAGCCACTGCCGCACTTCCTATCTCCTGAATAAATAAAATGTCTTTCAAACTCTTTGTCCATTGTTTCGGCATCTCTACTTCACTTACTGCGGACCATTGATTTTTTCCAAGCCTCCAGAGCCTCTTAGCAGCACATTAGAGCTTTTCGTTTGGGGCTCTTGGCAGGGTGTTAAATCCTGTCATGTGAAAGATGCCCCATGTTGAGAAGCTCTTCCTCATCCAACCTTACTTTCTGCTGTGCCTTGATCCACAGACATCAGGATCCACTCCAGGTACACGCTTCCAATCCCTCCTAGTGCTTGTTAATCAGGCCTTGCGGCTCCTTTACATATAATTCCTCCCTTCCTCAGCAGGCCCAGCATATCCCAGGTGGACGGGCCCTCAGAGAATGACTATAATGGCATTGCTGTCCTGTAAGACATCTCCCTCACAGTCTTCCAGAAATCAGGGAGCCTCCATCTCCAGCCAGGCAGAGCATGCCAATTCTGCAGACCCAGTGGGTGCAGGGAAATGTGGACATTCAAGGAATTCAAACTCCTCTAGCCAGGTATCCAGATCCCCCCTCCCCAAGACATAAGGTCCCATGCCTTCTCTGGACACTTGACTAGACTGAGCATTCAGCCTTCTCTGAAGGTCCAGCAGTCTGAAAATTACGTCCTGTGCCTGCTCTTCGTCTCGTTGTGGCCCCAGATGCAGGGGACAGAGGGCCTCTCTAACTCGTGTGAGGGTGCCCCTCTAACTCTCCCACTTTGTTTTAAATTGGTCTTTGCCCTGAGGCAGTCCTTTCCTCTCCTCAAAGAATCAGTGATATTCAACAACATCAATCCAATTCCACTGTCCTCATCATTCCTCTATCTCCTGGACCTCACAGAAGCCAGTGACACTGCACGCGGAAGTACATCTCCTCTGGCCGTTTCTTGTCTCAATTCAAGGTCTTAGCAATTGTGCTGATAAATGACAGGTTCTCTCGATACACCACCTCCAGTGAAGATGGGGGGGATGCCCGTTGCTGGTTGGCTGGTGAGTGATCCAGCTTCCCGGTACCGACTTTCTCAGGTTGGACTCCCTGATACAGAACATGGTATAGGGGTGTGAGGATGTAGGGGTCACTAAGTGAAGCAGGATAGGTGTTACAGATGGAATGCTCCTGTCCCCCCCAAACTCATAGGTTGAAATCCTACCCCCCAGTGTGATAGTATTAGGGGGTGGGGACTTTAGGAGGTGATTAGATCATGATGGTTGAACCATTATGAGTGAGATTATTACCTTCATACAAGAGACCCCTGAGAGCTCTGGCCCCTTCCACCATGTGAGGATACAGCAAGACGACAGCCATCTCTGAACCACGAAGCAAGCCTTGCCAAATACTGAATCTGCCAATCCCTTGCTCTTGGACTTCCCAACCTCTGGAAGGATGAGGAATAAATTTCTGTTGTTTATAAGCCACCCAGTCCCTGGTATTCTGTTATTGCAGCCCTAAATGACTAAGACAATAGGGAATGGGAAAGAGACAGCTAATGTCTTGGCCTGACGTACAGGGGCAGCTCTGGGGCGTGCTGGCAGGCTGTGGTACAGATGGTGCATCTGATCCAGGGTATCAAGTGATCATGTGATCAGAACTGCCATCATCAGATGGGCGCTGCCAGCCTCAGAGTCTGCATGAACCAGCAGTAATCTGGTGTCTGGTGAACGTAGGACATCCAGGGTCACGTTCAAGCAGGTCCAGAGCACACCAGTAAGCTTCATAAGCAGGTAGCCAGACCGCACATCATCTACTCTTTCTCAGCTCATCTCCCAGCATGTGGGGCTAATTATCACCAGGCAACAGAGGGAAAAAAAGAACCTGAGTTTGATTCATGGTTGGGTTGGCTCAGTATGCTGGTACCAGCTGAAAAGTCACCTCTGTTTACAGGTTTACATGGAGAAGTATGTCATCTACATTTGACCAACTGCAGCGAGAGAAGGCTGACGGCACAGCTGTCCATGTGGGCATTCACCCCAGCAAGGTGGTTATCACACAACAAAAACTGGACAAAGACCACAAAATGATCCTTGAAATTTAAAGCTACATCTCCCCAAGTAGGAGAGGAAAACGATTATAAAGAACAAACGACCGAGAAGGTGGGGGGATGAAGTCCGCTAATATACAACTTAAAAACTGCTAAAATGGAAAAGAAAGCCCCATTCGGAGATGAGGCTGAATGACAGTGGTGAGAAGACACCTCCCAGCGGGCAGAGATCCAGGCAATGTTCGTGGCCCTCCACTTTGGGTGGAGAGGGAAGTGACCCATCAACTCATGGGCCACATGTACTGATACGGGGAGGGCGAATGATCTCAGCCTGTCCGAACAACCTGATGAAAGCCAGACTCTGTGCCTGGAGCTGCTGGCAGTCATTTTCCCCATAATGGGGGCCTGCTACTGGACAGAGCTGGGACTGAAGGAAGAGAGCCGAGGGATGGAGCCAGTGAGACCACGGCCTGAAGACATTGCTCAAACCCTTGGATTCAGGTAAAAACTTGTCCTCCAAGTTAGCCTTTTTGTGTTTTGCTTAGACCATTTGATTGCCTTTGGGAGGCCCAGTTGACATACCTGGGAACCTCCCAAAGCAACGAGGCCTCCCTTCTACAAAGCTATGGGTGGTCAACACGTTGTACTTATAGAGATGGAGGCGGGGAGCTACAGAATCCCAGCCCCCTGTCTCAATTATCAAAAAATTAATGAAAAAAGAGGTTGTTGGATCTAGTATTTTTTTCATTTATTGGAGTTTGTATTCTCATTTTTAAATGGATACCCACACAGTGTTTTTAATATGAATTCTGCTAAAGAAACTTTTGTTTGTTTTTGGGGAGGTGGGAGGTATTTAGGGTTGTTTGTTTGTTTATTTGATGGAGGTACTGGGGATTGAACCCAAGACCTCGTGCATGCTAAGCACACACTCTATCACTGAGCTATACCCTCCCCTGCTTAATGAAACATTTTAACACACCAAAACATATCATAAAATAAATTATTCCAGATAAGAAAGAGCTTAACACATAAGAAAAAGGAGAATGTGATTACTCCTGCTTCTGAATATGCCTAGAGATCAGCCCACACCATCTTATGCCAAGAGTCTGAGTTGTAAAAACCCTCTGACCTATCTTTGATTGACAATCATGAGAGTGTAGCCACCCACAGAGAACCAACAAGGGGGAAAGCATGGACATTCTTGCTTACCTTGATGGGAAGATGCGTTCCACTCGCTCTAAGCCAAAGAGCAGAAGACTGGATTCACTCTAAATGTAAGAAATCCAATTTTTAAAAAGCAGCAACAAGAATCTATTTACAGCCACACCACAGTTCAAGACTGTGGCAGCTCCCACCGTTAGCTGACTCCGCCACTGACGTCAGACAGTATTGCTAACAAGCACACATCATCATTTATGCATGGAGTCACTGAAGGTCTGCTGTTTCTGCAGTGTTGAAGGTCCTGCTTATTCACAGGAATAGGAACGAGATTATAGTCTGAGAAGGAATGTAAATGTGTTCATCAATTCAGTCACAAAAATAAAACTCAGCTATGGGTCTTCAAAAAGTTTTGTTTTGGGGAACTGAAAGGAAATGAGGCATCTGAAAGCCAGATGATAAATCACCAAGAAGGTTCATTAACTTGGCTTCTTTCTAGTTCCCTTGTGTGTGGATTTCCACAAGAATCTGCTTTGTGAGTAGATATTCAGGCTGCTATTCCTTGGAAACAATAAAACAACTGGGGGCTTCAACTGTCGGGGGGGGGAAGATAGCCTTAAATATGCATTGAAGGCACGTACTGTGTCCCATGTGATTTCCAGCATCTCACTTGTTTTGTAGAATAATTTAGGTAATATTATTAATTTCACTTTACACATGAAGCAAGCAAAAGATTGGGGCACATGAATGATGCCACAGCTTTGAGAATTACTCCCTATTCAAATTACCATTCATTCCTTGACTAGCAATAAGTTCCTAAAGACAATAATGTTTGAGCTGTGCCTGATCAGGAAAACAGAAACCACTGTAGGTACTGAAAACCGAGGGACTTTGATTCAAAGAATTAAATACAGAAGTGTTGGGAAGGACAGTGACTTCAGGCAGGACTTCTAGCTGTGGTTAAGTAAGGAGACTGTCAAATGCTCTACCTTAAAAACAACTATAAAGATGGACAAAATTGCTCCTAAACAATCATTTCATCACTCTGAAAATTGACCGAAGGCATATAGCAATCTAAGAACTATTTACGCTTGAGCAACTGCTGGACTTGGTGGAAATCTATGGAATTCTAGTCTGTGGCTGAGCCCATCCATCTGTTCAATGTGGACTTCTGCCAGGGAGGGAAGACCATGAGGCCAGTGGTAGAGCATGCACGAGGTCCTGGGTTCAACCCCCAGTACCTCCATTAAAAAAATAAAGGAAAAATAATAAAGGGGGCTCACTCAATCTGGAGCAGTGGATGATGCCCACACTCAGGATCCTTGTCAGTGAAAGTGATTTTCCAGGAGCAGGAGAGTGGGGGAGGGCCACAGGCTCATCTCTACTGGCCAGAGGTTGAGATTGTGATTGGGGCAAGCACATTTCTTGTATTGCTTTGGATATACGTAGCAGAGATCAAGAATTCTCAAAAGAAAAGAAAGAGAGAAGGGGAGAAAGGAAGGAAAGAAGGAAAGAAAGAACAGAACAGAACCAACTCTACTGCCGTCTTCCAGACAGAGAGGACACAGGACAAAGTCCTTGCCCTCACAGAGCCTGTGTTCCTGGGGAAGCTTACATTTCACTGAGATGTCAGCGAGAGGAAGAACACATATTCCCAAAGTCTCTGCAGCTGGAATTCTGGGTTGGGTTGATAGTTGTAGGGACAAGAACTCTTTCTGGAAACCTCACATCTCACCATGTAGTAGGAAGCTATTATGTCCATATGTCACCTGAGTCATTTCTCCTCTTATTTCCTGTTCCTTCTGGGATGAATGCAATGGCTCCCATGCAGAGAGACAGGAAAATAGAAAAAGAACTCAGTGAGTTGCATTCAAACCTCCTAGAGTCACAGAATGCCAATGACTGAGGTTTTCAATAAATCCTGACTCTTGTCCCACGAAATACGTTTATGATTGTCCTGCCCATGTTACAAAGGAGAAAATGAGGCTCCAAAAGGTTAAGTAACTTGCTCTGGGATTGGTCTTCATGTCTCTTGACTCTAAAGTCTGGGATCTTAACCACTCCCACTCTTAACCTGTGCTGGCTCATTAAAAGTTTTGATTAATAGGGACTTTATGATCTGTGTGATATATGTATATACACGATGGAATACTACTCAGCCATAAAAAAGAATGAAATAATGCCATTTGCAGCAACATGGATGGACCTAGAGATTATCATACTAAGTGATGTAAGTCAGATAGAGAAAGACAAATATCATATGATAGCACTTACATATGGAATCTAAAGAAATGATACAAATGGACTTATTTAAAAACAGAAACAGACTCACAGACAGAAAACAAGTTTATGGTTACCAAAGGGGAAGAGGGGAGGGATGAATTAGGAGTTTGGGATTAGCAGATACAAACTACTATATATAAAATAGATACACAACAAGGTCCTACTGTAGAGCACAGGGAACTATATTCGATATCTTGTAATAACCTATAATGAAAAATAATCTGGAAAAAAATATATATATACACACAGGTATAACTGAATCACTTTGCTGTACACCAGAAACTAACACAGCATTGTAAATCAACTATGCTTCAATTTAAAAAAAAACAGGAAAAAAAGGGGACAAGGGGTGATGCACAAAAATTAAAACAAACAAAAACATTGTTAACTACAAAATGTAGGTGAGAAAAAGGAGAAAACTAACTACTAGATTTGGTAATTCAGAGGTCACTGGCGGTCTTAAATCCACAGCTGTGGCGTGGTGGAGAGAGAAGCCAGCTTGCAGGGGTAAGCAGGTGGCGCAGCAGGAATGAGTGGGTGAAGAGGACTATGGTGTGATCAAAGTGGGTGTCACTTTCAAAACTGGCTGTGAAGAGAAGCAGCTACAATGTCTTGGCAATGAGTTCCTGCAAAAGGTGGTCCTGGTACAACGATTTGAGAGCAAGTAGTTTATTTGGGATGTGATCCTGAGAAACATCTGTAGAGCAATGGGACAGCAAGCCAGGAAAAGGAAGGAGTCCAAAAGAAGGTCCATGAACAAGCAGGTTACAGCTGGGGACAACTGGAACTCTTCTGCAGATGAGCACTGAAACAGGGTGTAAGATACCTGCTTCTTCACAGATTTGTTCACTCACAGATTTGTTCACTGGACGGGTGAGAAAGCCAGGGCACTATCTACCAACCCTCATCCCTCATGGATGTTGGACAGCTGGAGCAGGGAGTGGGGGGGAAGGAAGTGTAATCACCCCAGCTCTTCTGGGCCTGCCCCATTTCTCCTGCTGAGTGAGCTTCCCACAGCCAGTGATTGCCTCCAGGTGGTGGCCGAGCTGTTGGCTTTGCGCAAAATAGGCAAGTACCCGTCCCAGGGAATATGGACAAAATGCTGGAGAGAGGAGAGCGCGTTCACATTACGCATTATGCTAAGCAGGTACCGTGAGCACAAGAAGAGCAGGATGGGGAGAGGTCCCAGGGTGTTCTTTCTCTAAAGAAGAGTAAAAGATGTGAAGTGCATTGCCGATGTGGGTGATTTATGAGGAAGTGCGGGAAGATTGCAGGAAATCTGAGAGTCCTCTCTCTGTCCCTCAAATGCACGCACGCACACAAAAGTTCCTTAAAAGACTGTGTGGGTATCAGAACCGAAGGGAATTTGAAGAACCACCTTCCTCTCACTTAGAACGGAAATCGAGGTCCGCAGAAAGGAAAAGGCAAGGCGGGTTGTGGGGTCCGGGGACCCCGGGGCCTGTACGCGATTATTCCCACCCGCGAGTCTAAAGTCACCCCAGGCTGTGCGCCACCCAGGAGGTCTCAGCAGCTGAGAGGAGCATCCGACCCAAAGGAAACCAGCCCCTGCCTGAACGCTTCGGGTTCTCTGCGGCCCTTAAGCAGGAAAGTAAAGAAGGGCATCTTGGACACCGGATGGGGCCTTAGAACTTCTTGTTTTTATCCACAAAATGTCCTTT